ATAACCAATCAAAATCTTTCCCAACATCACACCAGAAAATCGTGATCATGTGATAATGATAAATACATAAAAAGTTCGTTATTAGCATTTATATTAGGGCTAAAATTTTTTGAAATATTTAGTAAAATCGGTTAAGAAAAACTTTTTACATAATTCTATTTTTATCAAAATTATTTTTTAAGATTATTGGACATATGCCCAAGTATTATGTCCAGTGTCCAGTCCAGTCCAAGAACATAAAAAATAGTTGGACATATGTCCAATGCCAACACTGGTCTAGTCAAATTTCATAAATACATAGTAATGACATTCATTAATCATTATACTCTCCACTGGCTGGCATGAATATTAATTTTTATTATAAAAGAAATAAAATTACCAATATATTATACAGAAATATTTTTATATAATGTTGTTAAGTGCAATGTATATATATGTATATAATGTTTCTTATAAATAATATTGTTACAAGTCAAATGAATTAATATTAAATTTCATCATTATTATCGCTAGAATCATTAATTTCACCATCAGTATCTTCTTCATTATCGTTTTCGCTTAACACAAAGAACGATCTAATTCTTGACAACTTTGTTTTCCGCCTAATCAAATAATTCATCATGAACACGCGTTCCTTCACATTTCTCTTAAATTTTCCAAGTAATGTATTATATTCATTATAATCATCAATAACGTTTCCTTTTGTTAACCTCCATTTTCTCGGTACTATCACTATTTCTCCATCATTTTTATTGTTCCGTTTAGATCCAGATTGCCGTACGAATACAACGTTATTCAAATACAAATAAACCCTATTTAAAACTCCACTGTGTAAAAACCCATTCCGCCCATCGTTTTTCCAAATTCCACGATTTTTCAAAAACTTTTCCAGATCCAACCTAGTCATCGGTCTATAACATAAACTAGTTCTATATGCTGGTGAAAAATCCTGTGCATATTTTCTTAATTCTTCAATCTCTTGATTATTTTTTCTCCAGAGATCTTCCCAAAATAAGTACCACCATTGATGAGCTCTTGATAAATTCACTACTCTCATCCTTTCATATAAATAAACAAGTGTTGGATAATCGGTCACTGGTATTTCTTGAATTTGTGGATTTGTTTCAGTGGTCATTAATAAAGTAGGTAGTGTCTCCAATGGTATTGAAGGATTATTATATATATTTATGAAAAATCCATATGTTAAAGTTTCTTCTTTTTGAATAGCTTCATCTTTATAATACTGTCTATATTGTTGCATTATCGATTGAATCCGTTCCAAACCTTGGGACACAACTTTGTAGTTATCAGTAAATAATCGTTCAAGTTGTGTTGTCATCTGAAAATCATGTGTGATTCCGATAATATCATGGCCAACCGTTCGTTCATGATCAGTACTAGAATGAAATGCGTTCGTATACATGATGGTGACTTCAAATCCGGAATTCATATTATGATTATTCCATGTTGATATTTGATTACGTCTTATTTGGAGAAGACCTAAATGATAATGCACTTCTGACTCTGATGAAACGCCAAAGAAATTCTATTTTACACAAAAATAATTAATCACCATTTAGTTATTACGAATAAGCATGACAATTTATTTGAACTTACTTTTGGTGCTTTATCGTATTCTTCAAGATTATTATTTTTTTCACCTTTCTCGCGACAAGGACCGATAATAATCTTTCCTTCCAAAGCTCTAATCATTTGTCTAACCAACCTCCTTCGTTTCACTTCCTTATTCTCGTTCTGTTCCACGTACCTTTGAATCTCCCATTCCTGTGTTAATACAATTACACTCTCATCTTCATCATAACACATTACTACACTAAATGGAAATGGTACTACGTATGCTTTACCAAAACACGTTTTTATCTTAACGTTTAAAAATTCCGGTGCATAGTACATATCTGGTCCTACAAAATTATTTAATATCATTGTTCTTAATTCTATTAAAGAACTAGGTAAAGGGGACAATGAAACAGTATAACGTCTTATTCCAATTTGTTTTATGATTTTAAGATTCTCAACATGTCGTTCTGCCACACTTCCTGTAAAATTTAATAAATATGGTGGTCTATGTGGAGATTGAGAATATGCTACAATCTTATCTTTCGGCATTTTAAAATTTTCAGAAGTTAAAAATAGAGTTGTCCAAGTCTCTTGCCATATACGTCGTTTAATATGCTTAGAAAAATCTAAATTAGGTGAGTATATATTGATACTAAAATCTAATCGTTTCTTTATAATCTTTACGAAATTTTGATAAGGTCCTGTCTCTTTAAGCATATACCATATCATTGCTATTCCAACTATACAATTAATAATTATGATACCTATGGAGATTCCCTGATATGGACCAACTTTTAATATTACAACCAGTCCGAGAACTGCAGTGATCACATAACCAGTTCGTGTCCAATATTCACTAGAATTTTGCGAAGCAAAAATGTATGGTTCATTTCTCCAATGGATAATCAATAATAAAACCATGAGAGCAATTTGTAAAGCTTGACGAATTGATTCTATGCGAGTTCGCGGCATATTCCGGAAGATACAATTGTCTTTAGATATTAATGAAACTAAAAGTATATTAAAAAATTTGTTGGCCATTATAAAAGATTTGTAGGCTACCCATTTTTCGTTATATGCTAAGTACATAAATTATATCAATTTGGTTATAATTAAAATAATTAAAACGTTAAAGGAAATTACAATAACAATTATTAGTAACATACCATTATACAAAAAATTATAAGGGCAAATATCTTTTTCCAATAATTTTCTATATTCACCACCTATATTTGCAATCTTTTCACCAACTTCATTGTATTCATCAACTTTAGGTGAATTCTTGTCAACCAATCTTTTTAAAGCAATAGGGAACCAAAAAGTCAACAGTGCAAGTGTTACCAATGCAACACCTATAATTACTGGTGAAAAATTCCAATCACCTTTTCTCATACTAGTAATATAACAAAAATCATTAAAGGCTCTATTGTCTGTAATATTATTGAAGTAACTAAAATCTGGCGTATCACTATAAATATATGGATTTGGTATTGCCCAGAATGTGTCACCCCATACTAAAGCGTCAATTGAGAGTTTTGATATTGGAAGATAAAGGGTGGTTAATAAGAAAGTTATTACTATATTTTGACGTCGGTTTGTTTTGGGACGTAGATTCCATGGTGATGATTCAAGACCCTAATAAAGAAAATAGATATATGTTTATAAATTTGTAAAGCATCTATTTGTAATAATAAATCTATACATATTTTTTTTAACACACCTCAGTATCAGCATTAGGATCCCATTTAGTCATCATTCTAAACCAATACAAAGCTCCAAGTGCAATAACACAATATACCAAAAAGAAAGCTATTCCATTTCCAAATACACGATCCAAATTAAAACTAAACAAGTTGGGAATTGTATCCAATAATATTTTTACCCAACTTTGAAATATTCCAGGATTTCCAAATGACAACACAAGTGTTAAAAATTGAAAAAAATCTCTTACGATTTCTAATTTAGTCATTTTATCTGATGAAGTTTGAGTTCCAAGGACACCTTCTATGGCAATTACACCATCAATAGCAGCATCTAACCAATCATTTCGCATTCTTTGGTTCATTTGAATTCCTAGGAATGTTGACGATTTTTTAAACTTATTATTTTCAAGATCTTCTAGAGAAGTACTATCTGGAATTTGATTCATTGGTGGAAATATAAATTCTGAATATTTATTGGATTTACAATCTTTTACAAACTTTTCATATTCTTCTTGAGTCATTAAATCTTTAGGATCAGAAAATTCAGTGGGTGGTAAACTTTTAATATATTCATCCAAATGAGATAAATTTATCCACGGTGATCCAGGTTTGAATACTTCACTGGAATCTGATTCATCAAATATATTAATACTAAATTTTGTTATTTTTGATGGATTTAATTCAGTATCAGGTTGAAATGATATATTAGAATCCTTTTTTTTTTCAATAGAATCTTTCATCGCAGCAATAACTGGAGTGAAATCTGGTACAGTCACATTATTTCTTCGGAATGCTCTGTTGAATTTGTTATGTCTCGTACGTGCCGTAAGGTCTGGCATTGAACGATTATTTTTTCTGTATTCTACAGATGCAAGGTTATGTGGTACCATGAATGACATTTTACTTTTGGATGATGTGTATTCTGGTAAATTATGATCACCAGAATCTTTCGTTTTAATATGTTTAAGGAAAGGATTTTTCTTTAATGTGCTAGTTGGTGATAAAATACTTCGTTGTGGTCGTATGGAATTATAAGGAGATTTTGGGACTTGTACAGGTTTTAATGGTTTTCGTTTTGTTCGTTCTGATGATATCGATTTTAAATCATCGGATGAAGCATACGTGTGAAACTTTCCTGAATTTCTTAGAGTGACAGTGAATGTATTTGGTAGTTTATTTTTTAATTTTAGTTTCTTAGAACTTGATGAATAAGAAGTTGGTACAGGTTTTCTCATTATGCTATTTGATTTTGGTGGTAATCCCCGTTGATTGCTCTTTTCGAAACTTGTATGATCATTTGTCGTACGGGTATCTTGCATTTCTATTATATAAGTCGAGCTGTCTTGGACTGATGGTAGCGATTTCTTTTTATTCCCTGATTTTTGACCGACTACTTTATACATTAACGGGTTATTGGATTTTTTCACACCAACTTTCACACCAAATTGTTGATTAAATTCATTTTCAGTTAATTTTAACGAATTAGGATTAATATTATTAGACAATATAGGTGGGGATTCGTCTTGAAATTTCCAAGAATTTATATCATTAGACAAAGAAGTACTTAAAGTTGGTAATACATAAGTATTTGATGTTGGATCGGATAACCCACGCTTTAATGAAGATATTGATATAGATTCTTTAAGAGTTGATGAATGCCCAACTTTTGATAATGGATCAAGTTCCGGTATATCAAAGTTTAAAGTAGATATTTGAGGAGTTTGCGGTAATAAATCTAGAATGTTTTCAGAACCTTTGTTATTATTGTTTGTGATATATACAGGAACATTTTTTCGAATTGGAGAAGTTATCATTGAATCTCTTTTGGATTGAATAGGAATTGTTTTTCTCCTATATGAAATTACAGGAGTTGGAGAAACTATAGGAGATAATTGAGTAGCATCTTTTGGCAAATCAGGTAACTTTTTCTCAAGCGATGGATCAGGTATCGAGATATGTAAAGAAGTTGACTGCGTTGTTTGTGATAAATCTTTAATAAAGGGGGATCTAATTGGAGAAAATGGGTTCGTGTCTGATAATGAATCATTAATAGTTAGTTTAGCAGGGAAAACAGGGCTTTCCTTCGCGGATGACGTATGTAATGTTTCAGGAATTGTTTGTTTCGGATATATCGGAGTTGATATTGGTGGTGGACTTTGAATAGAATGACCTTTCTTAACAGCTTCTATCGGAGATGATGATGACATATAAAGTGGATCAGTTAGAATATTTGGAATTACTATACTTGAAGTTGATACATTATGTGATTCCGGACTGTTTTGCGTCATCGATGTAGTATCATTTATATTGGGATATGAACTGTTACTATTATTATTATCAGTAATAGAAGTTGTAGATGACAAAGCTGTCAGAGGTACAGTTGGTGGCAAATTTATTTGTTCCGGATTTGTTGTATTCAATAGATTTGTCGGTGACAAAGTAGGAGAAGTAGGAGGAGATGTAACATTTTCAAATCTAGACACCAAATTTGATACTTTTTTCTCTCGTGGCATTGACCCACGTTGAATTTGCTTTGGACTAAATGGTTTATTGAGAAAGGAAATATCTTTTGGTGGAACAGATGTTTTTCGAGAAAGTACTGTTGTAGTTGTATTTTGTGGCAAAGAATCCCAATTCATTCTCCCTCGATCATTTTGATTTTGAATAGTTTTTATGCCAACTATCGAAAGACTGCTATCTTTCACAAAGTTTATATTCGATAGACTACTACTATTGGAAATATCATTATCACTATTCCCATTTTCATTATTCATGGAATTTGAGTTTTCTACAATCACGGTAGGCACGGTAGGTACAGAAGGTGAGATATTTGTTAAACTCGAACTAGAATGATTATTATTATTGATCCATGATTTCGAAGGAAATTGTTCAGAATGTTTTTGCGATGAAATTTGTTCAGTAGTTTTCTCTTTTTGTTTGGTGGACCAAAAACTTATTAAATCGTTAACTGGTTTTTTAGACATAATTGGTTATCGTTATCGATGACGATTTTAACCGTTTATTGTATTTTGTACACTTAACGTTAAAAGATTTTTCTTTGGTTTATTAACCTGGGTTGAAAAGAAAAATAAAAATAGGATAAAGATATCGTAAGAACTGATCATGAAAAGAAAAAAGGAATCATTAATAAAGAATCATGAATTTTACTTTGTAAAAAAATATTTAAAATTGATGATAACGATAAAATGATATTTGAAAATAATCAATAGATGCTTTTTTTGGACATTAAGGATTTGCTGTTGCAAGTATGATTAATGATAATTCCTTTTTCTTTTAAAGGTTAAAATTCTTTTCGTCATAAATTATTCAAAGAACAAAATTGAATAAGAACCGAAAGAATGATAACTTTGTAAAAGAAAAAAGAATACGTATACTACGCATATATATTATGTAATTTACCCCTTGAACACAAACCCTTATTTCTTATTTAATTAATTAATTTTATAATTTTCGCCTCCAAGTAGAGCACGTGATTATTGTGTATATCGATGCATTTTTTGGGTTTACTAAATCACACCAGTGATGTTTAACATCATAGTTGTTATATCTCAAAAATTGGCCAAAAATAATTGATATTTAATGCATCAAATAAATGCTCAAAACCTCCTTAACTTTATTTCCAATCTCTAACCTTACTCCGACTTCTATAGTAAAAATTTCTATAAGAATATGATGCTGGCTGATTTAGTACTACTGTATATTTTTATCTCATTGTATTATATCATTATTACATTTAATCACATGCCCATAATAGAATTTCATTAAATGAAATAACCACGAATGCTGGATTTAATCATATAATATAATTTGTATATTTATAATTTGTATTTATGTATTGGTAAAATAATGTTTAGAAGGAAAATTAATTTTATTAGGTAAAAATGCCGAACAGAAAACATATTAGGAACGAGTATGGATTAGTGGAGGGTGAAATCTTACATTTGATTGGTCCTCGTGATCATACATGTCACATACTGTAACTATGTAGTACGTATCTGATACTGTACATACATAATAACTGATATTACATTTTATAATTATTAACGTATAAGAAAACAGTTTCGAACTCTACCCGTTCCTGGTTTCAGCGCGACTATATCGCGCAGCTATATAGTTTTACTAATTAACTATAAGCAAAATCACCCACATCACTATCAGTATTATTAATATCAATTAGATTTGATATCAATGAAAAAAAAATAAGTGAAGATATTTAAAATTTTGGTGCGTCATTTACTTATCTTATTATTGCTTTCTTATTTTTTTAAAAACTGATTTTACTTTGGAATACATAGAATCCACATGTATTGCATATTAAAAATGTTATATGAATAACGCCATTATTTGCAAATTAAATTGTTTGTCAATTCAATATATATATTTTTGAATCAATGATTTTTTATATACAGTATTTCTTTTATGTTTGAGCAAAGATTTAGATTTATTTTAAATATCACGCCTACTAGCAAATGTGTGGAGTTTTTTTGTTTTTACGTTTTTAAATTTTGACCTAATCAAATTCTTGCCGAAATATTTTGGTTCAATAGACTAGAAACTGTCTCATAAACATTCATTAAAAGTCAGGTAATTCATAGTATTTATCAAAAAAAAATAAATAAATAAAAATTTTATTTGCTATTTTTATCCATTTCGAAAATAGCGATAAAAAAAATTAAGAGGTAGTTTGCAGTTAAAGGGCATAAAACATTACTAAGCATCAAAGGAACTTATTATGAATTTTTTATAGTAGTGGAATGCCGATTTGCTACAATGAAATGTATTTTTACTAAGTAAACATCTTTAAATCTTTAATTAAAATTGTAGAACATGTGGGCTAGGTGCTGGGAAAAGGGACCAAATTGACTAAAAATAGATTTTGCGGAAATTTGATTTTTATATTATAAAATCTATATTAAATTATAGAAAAATACAGATTTAAAAAGATTATACTATAAAATTTTATTAATACAACAGCATTTCTTTCTTAAGTAGAAAATATCCTGAGCTAATTTGAAATTAGTTAAGCTTAAAATAATCATGTTGAAAAAATTATCAAATTGGTCCCTTTTTCCAGCACCTAGCCCATGTTATTACGATTCTAATGATAATAAAATCATTAAAATCGATTGTATAATAATCACAAGAGATTAAGATTTTTTTTCTTTTTTTACTATAGGAATTTTTCTCATTGTCAGAAACGTTCGACACTATGTAAAAGTTTTAGTAAAACTCTGCCGTATTTTTATACCCTTTAACTGCGGACTGTCCCTTAAAAAAATGTTTTTTAAAAATAAGTCGTTGTGTTCAACACAATAACAAAGTGTAAAATATTAACAGAAATTAAAATTGTTCAATAAATTTTAAACCCAACGTTACTAATAAAACGATACACTCAAGATTATTTGAAGTTAGGTTAAATAAAAATAAGAAGAGAAAGCTATAATAACTAGAGCATTTAAAAATATAGTTATATCAAAAATTTATGAATGTTGAAGATGACAATGGGTAAATGAACTTGGAAGTAAATGTAATAATTCCAGTATTGCTGATTAGTTAAAAAAAAAACACCAATAGGATTCGAAACTATAATGAACTAGAATCTAAATAATGTAAACTAAACGCAGAATACAAACAATAAAGCTATTGCTTATTGCGTTTACAAATCCGAAAATAGGTTGTAATATCAGAGCAAACAATTGTAGTAACACTTTCTACTAGCGATAAATGAATAGCTTTGATTAGTAAAGTCTGTTGTAGGTTTGATATTACTAAACCTGTTTAATTTATAAAATCACTATAGTATATCTCATTCAATATTTATGTATCCAGTGTCTAATACAAAATACCTGTTGGTATCTTGTTCGATGACGCAGAAATCAATGCGCGGCAATGTGAGCAAAATACCGGGTATCATCCCTGGTAAAACAAAAATACTAGTAAAATACCTGGGTATTTTGAATGGGCACTGAACATTCGGGGTATTTTAGACAGTGTACTACGGTATCTTTTTCATCATCTCATTCCATTTAGCTTATAATTATCGTGAATTACAATGTTGAGCAGAGATACAATTTAGTCTAACTAACGTATACTTTTGTGGTTATGCAGGAATGTTTAATGAAAGAATGAAATCATTTTCAGTAGTCATTACTTAATAACATAAATCAAAAAGAAACATGCCATATGATTTTGCGTGAAATCATACATCTTTGCTAGGAATTCATTTTGGAACTTATATATATAAGAAACAAAATTCTGTCTTAGTTATGAAAGTTAAAAGCATTGATGAAATCCTTAGTGGTTATAACCTGCTCCGATATGAATTTTGGTGTTTGTCTTCTTATATTAAACCCTGAAAACTTGCTTGGAATAATATTAGTATAAGCCCATGTAAACAAAATCTTATAAATACATAAACGTGCCTATCTTTTTGTTCTTTGATATATAATAATCTTAACCTCATGATAAAAAATCAATGTACAAAAAATAAATGTATTATACGTACTATAAAAGCCTGACTTCAGAAGTTGAATTCTAGTCTCAAGTCTTCATTCAATGCTGGAATTTAAGGTTATAATTCAGATTTGCTTGCATGATATAAAGTACAATAAAAACTGTTTGATCGAATAAAACAAATCACTATGTCTGAAACTTTATTACCATTATAAAGCCTTACAGACTGGTCAGAAATTCGGTTCATAAGTACTGAGATCTTTCTCTTAAATTAATCCTTTAATCATAAAATTAAAATTAAAATCATGACAACGGTAGAAATATTCTTAGCAGTGCTCTAAAGAATTTAGCAATTAATTGGGTATGTGTAACGACAATCAAATTAATACTAGCCGATTCTTAATTGAGTTTAACCGGATTGACATAACCGATTAATCGAATTTAATCGGATTAATATACCGATTAATCGAATATGACCGATTAATCGAATATTACCGATTAACCGAATATAACCGGATTAATAAAACCGATTACAACTGCTTTCATGACAGTAAATTCCGGGACAAATTAAAAATTTGCCGTTATCCAATAACTTTTTGGTTTCATCCTGTAAATTCCCATCAGTGTCTAATTTATTTTGCTCTCGGCGTAAATTTAAATGGCCAAATTATTTTAGATAGCCTAAATCGTGAATGATCGAAAATTATTCAGGTTGTAAAAATTATTTGTATGTCTAAAATAAATTTTCTAATTCAACCTGTTTTTATAATTAAAATTTAATAATTCTAAGAACTGATTATAACCGTATAACCGTGTAAAATTAATTAGTAATCCCAAACAGAATTATGTTATCATGAGCTAGAATTATCTTAATGTCGGCTGAATTAAATGGCTAATATGGTTACGATTTGCTATTTGTGATCACTAGAGATGGGCACGCGCGGAATTTTTTTGAATCCCGCGTGGGATACGTTACAGCAGAGACCGTTAATGTTACACGTATATTGAAACTGGTGAGGGATTATATCCATCACAATTGAATCCAACATAAATAATTTAATTTGTGATTGATCACAGGCGAGAGGGATTCACTTTGGATCGGGCACTGTCTCTGCTGTAGGGATACGTAGTATAATATGAATGCTGCTAGTAAGACCGAAATGTTCCGATAAATTTTGACCGTCATTCCGAAATATTCCGAAATATTCCGAAATCCGAAACCAGTGTCTATCCCGCGGATCACGCGTGTGTGGTGCGGAATTTTGGGGAATCCGTGATTTGCCCATCACTAGAGACACAAAACCCCGACAGAAATAAATCCCGAAAGGTCATAATTCCGAAGCAGACAAAACCAACAAAATTCCGACAGTTCATGATACGAACCCAACTAGTATCGCCACCAAAATCAGGTATGTAAGCGCTGCTTAAAATTCGATCTGAGCATTAGCATAAGACTTACGAAATCACGAGATTATCGACAAAAATAATTTATTTATTTATTAATTATTTGGTTATTGCTTCATATTTTGAATAGAATTACGTTTAAATTCGAATGCTTAAAGTACATCAAATTTTTATGTTATTTTTTAAAACTTCAAATTTAAATTTAATACTGTAGAAAAAGTTTTTTTGCTCATTTGCAATCTTTGAAAAGTATAGAATTTGATTCAATACTTTTTAGCCTTCTTTTTTTGTCTCGAAAGATTATTAGACTTTTTAAGTTAATCAAATGTCTGAAGTAATAATGATTAATATATATATGCATTTAAATGTAACTAATAAATAAAAAATTTTTATACCTCATAGAGTTTTTTTTGTATTTTTTTTTTCTAATTCGAATTTACTATCTTTAGTGCTTGACTCCTCCTCATATATGGGCTAGGTGCTATGAAAAGGGACCAAATTGACAAAATAGAAGACCTTCGGAAAATCAATTTTTATATTATAAACCTTATAATAAATCATAAGAATATGCAAACTTTGAAGAGCAACATATCAAAATTTTATTAATATAACTACCTTTGTATTTTAAATAAAAAATGAATCTAATCTTATTCTAAATTGATTTATGTAAAAAAACAACTTTTAAAAAAATTGTTAAATTGGTCCCTTTTTGCAGCACCTAGCCCATATATTTTGTTGTCTGAATTATCAGATTGATCATTAAATTAATTATGATCATAAGAGTTTGCACGATAACTGTCGAAATCTGATCCCTGTCAGAGTTATGAATTGTCGGGATTATAACCTGTCAGGATTTTGTGGTAGAATCGGAGAATTATTAAAAACCAAAATTTCACATAAGAAACCACCTTCTGCGCATTAACAAAAGTTTTTCCTTGAATAATTTTACTGTTAGAACTTCTAAATATTAACCCTAATGTAAGCTATAACCCTAACATGAGCGATATTAAAGGATTTTATCGAATATCATCTGGTAAAGTTTTTCTGTCGATGCTAGTATGATTGGATGATATAAATCAACTACCCGAGTAACTTATTTATACAATTTAAAGTACTTTTTAAGAATGTAACATTTCACTAACAAATAGATACCATAGAAGTCATTGCTAGCTTATAATAACAATAAGCTTATACTAACGCTTATATTTTACATTTTTTGAATATTATAGAGTTAAAGCATTAGTAACTTTGGGTTAAGTATATGTCGATAATTGTCTGAAGCGTAGTGAGACTTTATGCTGTTATAGTAGAGCAATTGACCAGAACGGGATTCCAGTGATGACGTCATCAAATGATTAGCCAATCAAAATAAGAAAATCGACACGGATTAGGTTCGGACACTACTTTTCTAGTATGTATAAGGGTATTATTATTGTTTCATTAATTATACTATTTAAAGGTCACGTAGCGTCTCTAATAAAGGTCATGATGATTAAAAATAAGACTAAATTATTTTGATTACTTTAATTACTTTTCAAAATATAATGTTAATCAATATAGTTTCGCTAATAATTTATTCGCATAATGATTTAATCAACTTGGGTTTGGATTTATTAGTAATAAATATCGATTTACTACACTATGTGTTTCTATCTTTTCTAAATATGTGGAAAGTTTTTTTTACATACGTTTATTAGTTGTAAGTGAAGTTCTTTTCATTTTATTCCTTAAACTGTCAATTTAACGGGTCCATATCATTTCCCGACATTTTTTTTCTTCGACAATTATTTCAATAACATCATGTAGAGTGATGATTAGTATTTAAAGTTTGATTACTAATAATTATCGGACTTTAAATATTAATCATCATTATACGTGATGTAGATGAAATAATTGTCGAAGAAAAAATGTCGAGGAAAACCCCAAAAGTGATGCATTTGATTGGCCAATAATTACGGAAATCACGAATAGATCAACCAATCATATGAATGTCTTCCTATTCCGTTAGCTTTAGTCATGTTTTTGATCTGCATAAATTAGCCAATTAAATAAATGCCTTCCCATAAGCGCCCGAGACCATAAAACAGAGGTTTGGACCGATTTAATTTTACAGTTTAGTTTTAATCACCTACATATAATTAGACTCAGATTTAAATTGAATTTTAATAGGACTTCATTATTCGGTTTTTCGGGTTTAATAACTCACAAGCCGAATCAACCGATTACATAATTGTTGTCCGCTAAAGGCCTTTTTTTCTTTCCGTTTTTTTTTCTTTTTTTGAGATATACTTACATATTTGCACATATATATAAGATATATTATTTGACCAAATACACCATATTGGACATTTTCTAAAAAATTGTTGAAAAATATCTCATAAGACGGAATTTATGATGTTACTCCTTATGTCGCTTCAGAAGTCAAAGGTATAAACTAGACAAAAATATTTCATGGTTACGAATTTTAATGATTGTATTGTTAGAGGTAAGAGCTGAGACATAAACTATAAATTTAGATTAGAAGTTCAACCCTAAACTATAGCCTGAACCCTAACCTAAACTTATAGTTTAGTGTTTTGGCGCTCACTTCTTAAATGATATTGTAGTAAAGATTTACCCTGGATTGCGGCTTCCAAGATTCCAAATTGCTGTACTAAATGATCTAAAGTAACAGCCTACTGTGAAATGTTTAGAAGTGACTTTATAGTAGAGTGAAGCTTGAAAGGTTCAAATAATGCAGATAGAATTAGAAGGTCATTCTTAGATGCTGATAAAATAGTCAAACTTATAGTGATCTCACAAAAACATCAGGATCTTTTATACACAGCAATATAAATTTGCTGCAAAAAGTGCAATTAAAGGTATACATTTATTTTAGAAATTTGCTATACAAGATTCTGGGCTATCAAATTACACAACCAAATTAATGAACAACCATCTGATCTCACATCCGCAACCTCGACCTGATATCTATCTCCTGCGATCATTTTGTGCTAGCATGGGTGTTGTGGAGAAAAAACCAAAGCTTTAAACTTATCTTTGAAAAATCTGGTCAGCAATGTGCTTTAATTGCGTAAGATAAAGATGACAAACGGCCTAACTAGCTAGGATAGTGGCACAAAAAAATTTTGGAAATGTCACTTAAGCATGCCTTTAGTTTTCTGATGACCTATAAGCATGTCCAGGTATGTAAACTTTTTTTAAAAAAGAGCATGCCACTGCCCCAAACCTTTGATTAATCTATAGATTGATGGGGCGATTTGTATCTCTATGCCACAATGATCAGGTTTTCAGAACGTAGTTCAGTAACTATAATTTAAAAGTCCGAAGTCTGATTATTCCAAGCAGACCCAATTACAATCGGGTTAAAATCAGTTTTAAACCCGATTTTTGCCAATATTTGCTGAAGTTGAGGTCTACACCGAAATCCTAATGGATTCTTGAAGAACTTGTTTGTATATTTCCTTATCTGATAGCTTCACCAGAATGGCACAAGTATTTTTGGTGGCAATTACGTTATCACAAATAACTTCATTATGTGGTGATAACGTAATTACTGAATTACCGCCAAAAAAATCTTTGTAAACTATCGGATAATACCGTTGTTGAGTGATACATGCCAATAACTTACTTATCTGGCTTTAAAGTTAATGTACCATTTCTGGGTACCTGTGGGGTTCAGAAGCTGGCACATTAAATTTAAAACCAGACAATGGGGTATTTTACAGATAACACCCATTATTGGCTACTCAGAATGTGAGATTTGGCAAAGGATGTATATTTCTAATTATAGGAGAAGCGTAGTAACAATGAACTTCCACGAGAATGTAAGGTGATGAACGCGATCTTGTTAGCATTTATTAAAATTTATATTAAATGTAACGGTAACGGTAACGGTAACGGTGAGATATAAATTACTGATGACCGCGGTAGGTTACCGATTTTAACATGGCTATGGCATTCAGTAATATCGATATTAGTATTTAAGGTTCGGACTACCTTATATATGTAAGTGATTAAGTACGTAAGTACATATACTAATAAAGTTTAATGCAAGTTCTACGTTACACCTGATCTTGTGATGTATATCGAAAATTTCCTTTTAGAGTGACGTACGTACGTACGCCCACTTTAAAACAAATCCAACTTGGTAACTCTTTACCGCAGAAAATTAATGGTGATCGTCCAAATAGTCAACTGTGACACAACTATAGGAATAATATGATGATGGTCTTTGTTTATAAGACACGTACCTTAATAGGAATGCATTTTGCGATTGATAGAATAGTAATCGTGATTTGAATCCCTTTATTCTATGTTAGATGATAAGGTACTGTAGCCCTCGGAATCCAAAATCCGGTTGTTGTGCAATTTTATTCTTTTTGGCATTACAGATTAATATTCTGTGGAACTGCGATTTTTTTTGAATTCTGATAACAAAAACAATAAAAACAGTAATCTTAATAAACAAAACAATAAAAACAGGATATCTTAATAAACTAGATTTTCCTGTTTTTATTTGGCGGGTAACTCTTATCCGCTTGCGTGTCTTTAATGCTTTGGGTCTAAAACTAATTACAGTAAAATATCTTAGCTGATACCATTACAGTGAACAAACATCTTATCATCGATAATCATAAAATCAATTTTCCGATAGCTTACAAGAACAATTGTAATAAATTGAATATACAACAGAATATTTCGCCTACACATAAAAATACATATATGTGGAAGCAAATATTAATATGGAAAATAAGGAAACCGAAATCGGTATATGTTCAATGCGTAGCTAATATTTCGTGGTCGTCATTGTGAAAGGTGACGTATAACGAACATGGGATTATTCATGATATTTATTAAAGGAATTCGATTAACTATACCGTCATTTTACGCGTTTTCTTCGAATGCTTAATTACATACCACTTTTTAGTTTACCACATTTATTTTATGAATTTCAATGTGTAATTATTATTTGTCATATATTTCAGAATTGGGACTTGAAAAATATTAATTGAATGACTTACTAGAAAAAAGTTTTTATTTGCATTTGTGAAATAAGATTCTTTTCTCAATTTCTAGTTATATCTCAATGAAAAGCTAAGTAGTAAACATTCTTTAATTTTTGAAACTCTTATGTACTCATATGCTTCGTCTTCATGCTGTACTACGCCAAACTCGCATTTATTTATATAAGCACATCTTCTTAGCGTCAAAATGGTTTCCACTGAGGCACTTAACACATTTAACAACTTAAAACAACATGGACCCAGCATCAATCCAGGTTCCCTTTCTACCAAGAGTTTCCGTTTCACGTCTCGTAGAAAAGCGTCTCCAAACACCCGCACATTCGAAATCTCCAAACTCGTTCTTTATTTATCGTGGGGCTTTCCTTGATGAAGTACGTACTCGTAATTGTAAAGTCAAGATGACTGATATATCGCCAATTATTAGCGCTTCTTGGAAACGACAACCCCTGTTCGTTAAAAACGCGTATAAAGAAATCGCCCAAGAAGTTGAAAGACTATCTATCGAATTACGCCAGAATGCAAAAATAAGTGCTGCTCGTAAACGGCATATTGTCGTTCAGCCTTTAGAAGAAACTCAATCAACCATAATGTCTCAAATTCCGCCATTTAATATACAACCTCCGTATGAGAATTATGGAAATTTGGTTTCGAATCAGCCACTTGATTTTACCGGTTTTTCGACATTTTTTCCCAATCATAATCAACCTCATCAAGTAATCCTGCAAACCCCTTTTGAATACCATTTTAATGATTATTCTATTAACCCTAATAATCCACCTTATTAGGTGTTAATCTTAATGATATTGTCTATTTTTTGTTTATTTTATTATATGCCACTTTTATTTCTTTTTATGATAAGTGATATCACAAAAAATTATGTTTCTTTAGTATTATGATGTAATAACAACAATAAGAAATTTTATTCTTTAAGGTTTAAATTTTCATTATAGGTGGGCAGTATAATAAGTTTCACTGGTTGTGTGGTCACGTGATACTAGTGCTTGCCCCCCTTTTTATGCTGTTTTCTATGCAATAAATAAATAAATAAATAAATAAATAAGCGAACATTATGGTACCATGGCGTTAAACTTACATAATCTTTGTTTATTAAATTGAACAGTCTCAATATTAATACTAACATATTTTAGTTAATCATAAAATTTGTCTTATCAGATATATCTTATGTGGTCACTGAATGGTTATAACTTATTTGGCCATATCCTAATACAAATTCAGTCGACTCTCTTTATTTAGAATCCTCTGAGATTATCAAAAAAAAAATTTGTTTAAAAATGTACTTAGTGTTTAAACTGAACTACATAATAAAAATTTAAAATTATATCATTTAGCAAAGTTTATTGTGTTCAATTTACACGGATTCGGTTTAAAGAGTTAACTGTATATACTTACCATTTATGTGATGAATAAAATTTGTATAACTATATTAAGAGTATTGTCGATGTTCAAGTTGACTCTTCATATTCTCTATATACTATAATAGATTTGTGATTTCTTATGTTCTCACATAAGTGTAACCTAGATGTGTATGTTTTCAGATAACATTGAGAACGTTTAATATCGTACACTGATTAAAAGCTGCAGAATAAGTTATACAAAAATCATTTAGTGCTTACTTTAGGCATGTCTGCTAACCAAGTTATCAGCAAAGTCTCCAATACAGATTTAGTTACACGATTGTAAAGAAAATTTTTAATCGCTTTACAGTATCTTTTTTTTAGATAACCAAAGCTTTTATTAAACAGGATTTGAGTATTAAGTAAGTTTGAAGTTCTCGTTTTACAATATATTTTTCCAAATCCTTCTACAAACATGTTTAAAATTGGCTATGTATTTGATTGGTTGACAAATCATAACTCTAATTGATTGGTTAAGATGACGAAATAAGATTGAAAATCATTTCTATATTTATACGGTCTCTCCAATATATATGATGTAGATCATAGGATATATTTGGAGGTTGATAATTTTGTGATTTATGGCGTTCCTAAGAAATATGCATTTAAAAAGTTTTATTTGTATATATATTTCTCAAGATCGCAACAGATCACAAAATTCACAGGTTCTTGCAGGTGAAATACCGTATTTCTCCATGGGGAGTACCCGATCCCTTACAATCTACACAAATTTTTGTTTCGACTTTTATGTGGTAAAATACTGTATTTTGTTTTATTAAATAAAATTATTTTATTGGCACGTTTCCGATGTTATGACTCTAGACTTGATTCAACTATATGAAACATAGGGGTAAGCCTATGCATTCGACGCCTGCTGGTACTCTACAAACGCGTAGGTGTGTTCTGGCTTTTGTCCCACACACTCTAGAAGTCCACATGTGTATGATGAAGAGATAGCAACTTTGTATAAAGCAAAGCCTTTATAAAAAAAATTGTCTTTTTGGATACGTGTCACTTCACCGACAGTCACTTATTTCACAGACAATTAATTCACCGATAAGTTTATTTTACAGACTATCAATTCACAGATAAGTTCATTTCACCAATAATTCATTTCATAGACAGTTTGTTCCACCGACAGCTCATTACACATACAATTTCTTTTTATAATTTGCACTGAACTTAAACATGATTCTACTCCTAAATCTGACAATAATGACTGATTATTTTGTCAGTGAAACGAGTTGTTGGTGAAATGAATTGTCTATTAATGAGCTGTCGATAAGATAAACTATGAACCGAATTTCGTTTGTAAAATAAATATGTTTGAGATGTCTATGAAGGGATTGTCTACTAAGTGAGCAAAACCGATCTCTTTTATGTGCCAGTTCTGTGCCATGTTTAAAAGCACATGTATCCTTCGTGATATGAGAATGGCAAGAGGATGTAATCATATTACCACAAGGAAATCCTAGGATACGATTATAAATATTAGTGAAAGTTAAAGGATTAATCTAAGAACTATCTCATAGACAATCTTTAACAGTGAATAAATCCCGATCTACTAGTCCTTTTTGGATTATTTAGTT